ATGGTGTCCAGAGAAGGACCAACAAAATAATCAAAGATCAAGAAGCCAGGATCAAGAAGTCTAAGAAGAAACTTAAAGGTTGAGAAGGCATTTAAAAGGATATCCCATTGAGGAGGGGGGAAGGTTGTTTTCTGCTGTTCCAGAGACTGACACAATGGAGCCGTGGATTCAAACTTCAGGAAAAGAGATTCCACCTAAACATTAAGAAGAACTTCCTGATAGTAAGAGGTGTTTGGCAGTGGAATGCTGTATTTCATCACATACTAGTCGCACCAAAAATGGGGGTGCGACTGTTACACGATGAAATACGGTATGTGCCTCAGAATCTGGCAGAGTCTCCTTCCTTCTCTGGGGGTTTCTAAAAAGAGGCTGGATGGCCATCTGTCGAGAGGAAGAAGGTGTTGGACTGGATTCATGGGATCTCTTCCAATTCTGTGATTCTGTCTCTCTGGCCCTGTATCCCTCATCGACTTTGTTGTGTCTGTTTACATTTCCTTCTTCCCAAACATGAAGAGAAGTTCTAAGGAGCCTTTGTTCTTGACCTCCGACTCCAATTCAGATGAACTCTATTTGCCCAATTGATTGTGGTATCATGCACCGTTCTTTGGTGTTGGAGCATCTGCTTGCCTGCAGAGTTTCTGGGGTTCATGTGGGGTCAGCAATCGTTTTCCCTGCCTGGAAGCGCAAAGAGAAAACCCAAACATGGCACAGAGGTGCATCCTAATTCTTTTCTTGATGCCAACCGTTGGGTGGTGGGGATATAAAGGGGAGAAGCGGATCAAAGGTAAGGAGGACGAGGATGAATCCTTGACACTCTTACAGCAAATATACGAATATCTGGCACTGATCTAGGAGGAAAGTACATCTGTGAAGCTTTGGGCTGTGTACAAATGAAGTTTTGTTTGCTTAAAGAACACTCTCCCTATGGGTTTCGTATTAAATGAATCATATTCTCTTTGCTGCAAAACACTCCCTGTTGATTTTTGTTTTAGTGCATTGTATAAAATGGTAAAGAAGCGACGTGATAGTCATGTTTAAATATTAGGATCCGAATTGCAGGAAAAAGAGATTCCACCTCAACATTACGAACATTGTTGAGCAGGTTAGACCTGCTCAACAATGAAATATGCTGCCTCAGATTCTGTTAGTCTCTCTTTCTCGGGAGACTTTTAAGCAGAGGCTGGATGGCCATATGTCGGGAGGGTCTGGATTGTATTTTCATATCTGACAGAAGGGGGTTGGTTTGGATGGCCCTTGTGGGTCTCTCTCAATGCAACAACCTGGGAAGCTACTCTGGGAAAGTGAACACAATGGGCTGGATCATGGTTGATGGGATTTATAGTCCAACAAAGACATAAAGGTGGGAGGCTGAATGCAGTGAGGTTGTCATGTTGATCTTTTGTTGTTCTTGTTGTTCTTGTCGTTCAGCCTGTGATTGTATCTGATGTCAGTGGGGATGATGGTTTTCCTGAGCCTGAGCTGTCAAGTCCTGGCCTTGTTCAAAGGCCTGAGGTTTCTCATGAATGGAGTGCCTCTCCTATAGATTCTGAAGGTCAAATTCCCAAAAAGGGCCCAATACAGCCTTTCTCTGAGGAACTGTCTTCTGAGGATGATTTGCCAGGTGCAGAAGTTAATAAGATTGAAGATAGAAGCCAAAATACTTTTGTAAACTGAAAGAAAGTTCCCAGGCTCACCAAAGGTCAGTCCGTCTATTAGAAAGGAGAAAAGAAATCCTTATCTGGTTGTAAAGGCAAATGGAATGCTTTCCTTTCATTTCATGGGACAGGAAAAGCTTTATATTAGACAGGGAAAGGATTTTAGTTCAGTTTGGTCAACGTTGAAATTTCATGACCATCTTGTTTCCAAGTGAATTTCTAGTTTCATGTTTCCAGTTTGCCAGGTTCCTGTTCTGGGTATTGGATCTCCATGCTGCCTCAGATCTCCTTGGATCTTGTGTTTTTACCTTTGTACCTTGAAGTTCATGGACTATCTGTTACCTTTTGGAAAATATTGTTTTGGACTATACTGTTTCTATCATTGTTATTGCTTTGCTAACATATATCCTTCAATAAACTGCTTGTTGATTTGACTATACCCGTGTGGTGTTTAGGGACAGAGGTTCCTGCTCTGGGATACAACAGTTGTAGTTGTGTACCTTGAAGTGATCTCTGAACCTTTCAAAGGGTTGTTTTATGGCAAGATTTGTTCAAAGAGGACTTTATTATTATTATTATTATTAACTTTATTTGTACCCCGCTAGCATCTCCCGAAGGACTCGATGCAGCTTACAAAGGCCAAGGCCTCAATAGAACAACAATATAACAAATACACATAAACCAAAGCAAATCAAAACATTAAAGCAATAACAGTAAGTAGTAAAAACAGTACACCGTAACACAATAAAAACTAGGCTGGGCCAAATATAATGGGTACAGATTAAAAAGTGCTGAGTATGCTGAGTGAGATATAAGGATTTTTGGATAAGTGCAATGTGCGGACAATCTTAATCTCTAATAAAGTGCTTCTGGGACGTATTGCTGGAGTTTCCTATTCTGGAAAGGCACACCGGAATAGCCGGGTCTTCAAGCTCTTCCTAAAGACTGCCAACGTAGGGGCTTGTCTGATGTCCTTGGGGAGAGCGTTCCAGAGTCAGGGGGCTACCACAGAGAAGGCCCTGTCCCTCGTCCTCACCAACCGCGCTTGCGACGCCAGTGGGATCGTGAGCAGGGCCTCTCAGATGAACGAAGGGAACATGCAGGTTCATAAACGGAGATGCGGTCACGCAGGTAGGCAGGTCCCAGTGACTTCCCAGTGCCTCCCTGTGAGGCTGAGAGAGAGTGACCAGTCTAAAGTCACTCGATGGTTTCAGGTCTCAACTGACATATTGGACAAAATATGCCAATTTGGTTTTACATCAGATTTAGGGATACTGTTTTGCATCGTGAGCTGCTTGTGTGCATATTTTCTCTTCCTTTTCAAGGAAAGGTTAAGAGACTACATTGCTGGAATCTCTTTCTGGGTTAAAGGAATTAAATTTCAGCTTAAGAACCCAGATAGTTGGCCTCTGAGTACATTCCAGGGGGTGAACACATACCAGTCCTGTCTTCGTTACAGGTTAGGAGATTATAATTGTCAGAAAGAAAGCAGGTGAGAGAGCTTGAATCATAGAAGTATAGAATCATAGAGTTGGAAGAGACCCTGAGGGGCATCTGGTCCAACCCCATTTTTCCATGCAGGAAAAGCAAAATCAACGCTACCTAGCATCTGTTCAAAAGCTTCCAAAGAAGGAGCCTCCACCGGTCTCCAAGGCAGAGAGGCACACTGTTGGGCAGCTCTTCCTAAGGTCCCCTTCTGTGATCATGCATTCAAGTCCTGTAAATGTAGCCAGGACTGCAGTAGACTTTGGTTTTGAAATATTTATTTATTTATCGTGTCATCAGCAACCATACCATTGTATTACAATTCTAACAGAACAAAACAAACAAACAGATTAAAAAAAACAAAACAAAACACAGATTTTGCAAACTTGGTAGTTGATTAAATGTCCTTTGACCAGTATCTGGCCACTTGGAGTGCCTCTGGTGTTGCCGCAAGGAGGTCCTCCATCGTGCATGTGGCAGGGCTCAGGGTGCATTGCAGCAGGTGGTCAGTGGTTTGTTCTTCTCTGCACTCGTATGCGTTTTTGCAGTTCTCCCAAAAATGGGAGCTGTTTTTGGTCCACAGCTGCAAAATGCAGCTAGATCCATCCTATTGGTGGCAATGGGGAACTTATGAGTCTCCCCTTTCCATTCCCGGGACCCTTTCCTTTTTTCCCTTCAAGGGACCATGGGTTTTCAATTCAATGGGCCTGGCTCACAGGAAAACCCTGTGCGAGCAACACGCAGCAGCCTCTTTGTGTGCCGTGTGATGCCGCATAGGGGAGGAGAAGCCATGATCGGCTGCCACATGGTCCCGTTACGGATGGAAAAACATGATGGCTGCGCCCTTGCTATTATGGCCAGCTGACCAAGCTGAACAACTCAGTTGGCTGAAGGGAACTGACCACTCCGAATCTGTGCACAAGCCTAATTCTTAGTATTTATTTATCGTGTCATCAGCAACCATACCATTGTATTACAATTCGAACAGAGCAAAACAAACACACAGATTAAAAAGAAAAAGAAAAAAAACACACAGATTTTGCAAATTTGGTAGTTGGTTAAATGTCCTTTGACCAGTATCTGGCCACTTGGAGTGCCTCTGGTGTTGTCGCAAGAAGGTCCTCCATTGTGCATGTGGTGGGCTCAGGGTGCATTGCAGCAGGTGGTTAGTGGTTTGCTCCTCTCCACACTCACATGCCGAGGATTCCACTTTGTGGCCCCATTTCTTAAGGTTGGCTCTGCATCTCGTGGTGCCAGAGCGCAGTCTGTTCAGCGCCTTCCAAGTCGCCCAGTCTTCTGTGTGCCCAGGGGGGAGTCTCTCATTTGGTATCACCCACGGATTGAGGTGCTGGGTTTGAGCCTGCCACTTTTGGACTCTCGCTTGCTGGGGTGTTCCAGCGAGTGTCTCTGTAGATCTAAGAAAACTATGTCTTGATTTAAGTGCAAAATAAAGATAGAGAAAGCATGGGTTTTGTATGGGCATGACTTTTTGGCCATCATAAGCTTTTGTTTCATCCTCAAAGCCCTCCAACCCCACATTGGGTGATTTATGCCGAAACCCAATGCAGAAAGCCTAAACAATATGCAAAAACACATCAAATATTTCCACTTTGGCCACACAATGGATCATATCCAGGGCAAAATATGCCATCAACCTACTCACCCCAACTACCTCTCTTTTTTGTTTGTTTTTGCAATGGCCCTTCTCATAATGGTGATGGGGCACAGTGACTTCACTTCTGGTTACCATGTTGAGAGGGGCTGCATACAAAAGGAGAAGGGTCTGGGGCTTGCAGATGGTCTAGAAGGCAAAAAATGGAAAATTGGTTTAACATTGTCCCTTTTTCTTCCTTCTTCCAGTGATTTCTTCCTCAAAGCCATTTCCCAGGGTGGCACCAATTCACCGTTCTCCAGAGCAATGGTGGGTCAGATTGGCCTAACCCAGGTAAGAGGGATTTAGGATGACCTAAAGGTTGTGTGTTCCTTCTCTGAAATTTTGAAATCCCCAAATCCCCTCCAAATTGGTAATTGTGACTGAAATAGAGCTGCCCCCTCACCCTCTCTACCTTCGGCCAGGCCGCCGCAGTGTACAGTGTTCTCTCGCTAAAAACCGTGAAACAGCAAGTCCGCGGTAAGTGAACCGCGAAGTAGCAAGGAAACACTGTATACATAAGTATAAATACAATGGCATAAGTATAATCAACAGCGCATAAAAATCTCACTGATAAAATTATAAAAATATGAAAATTATTAAATTCCTACAATGCAGTGGAACCTGCGGGCCAGCTATCTGCCAGTACTATGATGATTCATCATGTTGACCATGGATTACTCAAGAGAGCTGGAGAGCCACCCCCGAGAAGGCCCTCTCTTGTCCCCACCAACCATGCTTGGGAGGAGGGAGCAAGCTTGTTTTCTGCTTCCTTGGAGACTAGGACGCGGAACAATGGCTTCAAACTACAAGAGAGGAGATTCCATCTGAACATTAGGAAGAACTTCCTGACTGTGAGAGCCGTTCAGCAGTGGAACTCTCTGCCCCGGAGTGTGGTGGGGGCTCCTTCTTTGGAAGCTTTTAAGCAGAGGCTGGATGGCCATTTGTCAGGGGTGATTTGAATGCAATATTCCTGCTTCTTGGCAGGGGGTTGGACTGGATGGCCCATGAGGTCTCTTCCAACTCTTTGATTCTATGATTCTATGATTCTATGCTTGAGATGGTGGTGGAACTGAGAGAAGGGCCTCCGCAGCAGATCTAAATGCCCATGCCAGTTCATAGAAGGAGATGCGGTCTCGAAGATAGTTTGGACCCAAAGCATATAGGGTTTTATAGGTAATCACCTGCACTTTGAATTGAATTTTGTAGGTGTTCTTATTGTTTACATTTAGTTAATTTCCAAATAATTTATTTTCTCATTAATGTGATTTCATAGCATAGTGATCGCATCTCTATTTACGAAACCACACGATCCATTTGATCATCTGGAGAGGCCCTGTTCTCAATCCCACCAACATCGCAGGCGCAATTGGTGAGGAAGAGAGAGAGGGCCTTTTCGGTGGTGGCCCCTCAACTCTGGAACTCACTCCCTAAAGACATCAGACAGGCTCCAATTTTGGAAGTCTTCAGGAGGAACTTGAAGACGTGGCTGTTCCAGTGTGCCTTCCCGGAATAATAACCCATAGCACTTTGTCCTCCAAAGCACTTTACATTTCTTTAAGTCTGTTCGTATGCCCTTCCACAAACACCTTCCATTCATGTCCCAGCATTGTTTCCAATTTTAACTCTACATTTGGCCTCCCCACTGTTTTTAATTATGTGCTGTTTTATTGATATTGTTGTGTATTTTATTGTCTATGTGTTTTTAATTGCTTTTACTGTGTTGTTATTGCTTGTATTGTTGTATTTGGGCTCGGCCTCAGGTAAGCCACACCAAGTCCCTTGGGGAGATGGTAGCAGGGTACAAATAAAGTGTTATTATTATTATTATTATTATTATTATTATTATTATTATTAAGCCAAAATCTTACATAATAAGTGTAATCTATTGATAGTAAGGGAGCCCCTGGTGGCGCAGTGGGTTAAAGCACTGAGCTGCTGAGCTTGTTGATCGAAAGGTCGCAGGTTCGATTCCGGGGAGCGGCGTGAGCTTCCGCTGTCAGCCCTAGCTTCTGCCAACCTAGCAGTTCGAAAACATGCAAATGTGAGTAGATCAATAGGTACCGCTCCGGCGGGAAGGTAACGGCGCTCCATGCAGTCATGCTGGCCACATGACCTTGGAGGTGTCTACGGACAACGCTGGCTCTTCGGCTTAGAAATGGAGATGAGCAGCACACCCCAGAGTCAGACATGACTGGACTTAATGTCAGGGGACTACCTTTACCTTTACCTTTATTGATAGTAAATGTAAAGGTTTTCCTCTGACATTAAGTCTAGTCATGTCCGACTCTGGGGGGTGGTGCTCATCTCCATTTCTAAGACAAAGAGCTGGCGTTGTCTGTAGACGCCCCCAAGGTCATTTGGCCTGCATGATTGCATGGAGTGCTGTTACTTTCCTGCAGAAGCAGTACCTATTGGTCTACCCACATCTGCATGTTTTCAAACTGCTAGGTTGGCAGAAGCGGGAGCTCACCCTGCTCCCTGGATTTGAACTGCCAACCTTTTGGTCAGCAAGTTCAGCAGCTCAGCGGTTTAATCTGCTGCACCACCAGTGTAATTGAGTGACCATCTGTAAAGAGATGGCTACCAGGTCGTAAAAGATCGCCACCAATTAGTGAGGAAGACCCTTAGGTTTAGGAGAGAGGAGCCACCGATTTGTAAAAGGCTCTGGTATTAATACCACTGGATGCCACCCTGTTTGTGTTGTGAGGTAATTTTGGGAGATTGGGTACACGAACGTAGAATTAATGGAGATGAGGCAGTTTCAAAAACCAAAGAGAACAAGTTTATTTTTAAACAAAGCGTATGGTTGCAGTATGATGATGTTAAGCTTGGCAAATAATTGAAGGTTACATGTAACTTGGTTGCGATACAATTCAGACTTTCGATGTTACAACTTATGAACTCTTGCTGTGGTGAAGCACTTTATTAACCAGTGTTCCCTGCAGTGAATAGTCTCCCTGTTTGATCTATCCTTGATCAAACGACAGATCTCTAGTCTTCTCCCGACTAGCGATCTTAACAGCCTCTGTTAGTTCTTTCTAACTAAAGCAACTAACAAGGTTTTCCCCTTCAGCTTCCTAACTGAAGAAATCTCTACTATTCACGAACACTGAAACCTGACTCTTCACTTCTCAGAGTCTCAATCCTGACCTGCTCTTCCCTGAGCCTAAAACCCTGACTGACTCTAACTGTCACTTTTCAAAAACCTTAACTCTCTAAGCTCCTCCCACCTCCTCTTCTGCCTCGTTTCCATGGTAACACATTCCTAACAGCTAGGCCGCTCCAGCCTAAGGCAACCAATGCAAACATAAATACAGTTATAAGCATATTATTATAAACACTTCTGTACACCATCCTTAAAACTTCCATTTTTATATAATAAGGTTTATTTGCAATATAGTTTCATCATGAATTATATCTTTACTAAACCTACTTTTGAAATGGTGGGACTCCCAGACTTCCACCCAAAATTACCGATATTACATGGTCCCCCCCCCCCCCAAATATATGAACTTTGGGCATGTGTTTCAGCTTATTTCTGAGCTTGAAGAAGACTTCAAGAAAATGGCGGTCTCTTCGGGGAGCCCCCTTCCAGAGTCATTTTCGATGGGCCAGATCTTCCAAGAACTGTTTGCAGAAGAGATCTTCAGCGTTCCTTTTCTGAAAGCGGCCCTGACCCTCAAGAACAATGGTAAAGCCTTCCCTTCTCTGCAAAGAGAATAATATTATAGCTTTATTTCCCAGGTGGGCAAAAGGTCACTTTGGGGCTCCAGAAGGTGCTATTTTGAGTATTCGAATGTACTTCAGGATTTTTATTAGAGGATGGTCCAAATGCACAGTTTCCAAGCTGCAAGCTTGCTTCTCCTTGGATTTCTTTGAGAGCATCCCAATCCGTACATTTTTCCTATTTCCTGTTCCTGGACTGCAACTCCCAGCAATCTTCCAGATAGATAAGACATATAGATTAGATAGGGATAGATAGTAGGTAGATAGATAGATCAATCAGGAGGACTGCTGGGAGTTGCAGTCCAAGAATAGGCAGAGAAGGAAGAAAGGAGAGAAAGGAAAAGGGAGGGGAAGGAAAGAATGAGGTAGAGAAGGAAGGAAGGAGGGAAGGAAAGAAAAAAGGAAGAAAGGAAGGAGAGAAAGGAAAAGGGAGGGGAAGGAAGAAAGGAAAGAAGGAAGGAAAGAAAAAAGGGAAGGAAGGAAGGAAGGAAGGAAGGAAGGAAGGAAGGAAGGAAGGAAGGAAGGAGGGAAGGAGGGAGGGAAGGAAGGAACGAAGGAACGAAGGAACGAAGGAACGAAGGAGAGAAGGAAAGAAAAAAGGGAAGGAAGGAGGGAGGGAAGGAAGGAACAAAGGAGAGAAGGAAAAAAAGGGAAGGAGGGAGGGAGGGAGGGAGGGAGGGAGGGAGGGAGGGAAGGAAGGAAGGAAGGAAGGAAGGAAGGAAGGAAGGAAGGAAGGAAGGAAGGAAGGAAGGAGAGAAAGAGGGAGGGAAGTTGGCTGCAGCAACACGTGGTAGGTACGACTAGTATAAAAATAAAATGAAAACGTTTTGAAAATGAACACAGCAATGTGTGGCGGGTACAGCTAGTCTATATAAATAAATATGTAATGTTCGTTTGTGGGATTAGCATAACTCAAAAAACATTGGACACAATACATGTATCAGGCCAACGAGTGACCATCACTCATAAAAACACTGAAAAACACAATAGAAGGGACTTTAAAAGCCAAAAAATAAAAAACACATTACAACACGTGTGCAATACCACATATATATACACAAACACACACGTATACACATATACACAAATATATAAGGTAAAGGTTGTCCCCTGACATTAAATCCAGTCATGTCTGACTCTGGGGTGTGGTGCTCATCTCCATTTCTAAGCCGAAAAGCCGGCATTGTCCATAGATACCTCCAAGGTCATGTGGCCGGCATGACTGCATGGAGCGCCCTTACCTTCCCGCCAGAGTGGTACCTATTGATCTACTCACATTTGAATGTTTTTGAAGTGCTAGGTTGGCAGAAGCTAGGGCTGTCAGTGGAAGCTCGTGCTGCTCCCCGGAATTGAACCTGCGACCTTTCGGTTAACAAACTCAGCAGCTCAGCATTTTAACCCACTGTGCCACCACAAATATATACACACACATAGCACATATACACAGACTAGGCCACAGCAACGTGTGGCAGAGGGCGCCTGGCAGGATAATAACTGGGATTGTGTTTGTCATTACCTTAATACCTCTCCCCTTTCCCAGGTTTCAAGATTGCTGTCCTGACCAACAACTGGCTGGATGACTCCCCCAACAGACTGGACACGGGGCTGGTCTTTTGTCTGCTGCGGAGACACTTTGACCAAGTGATTGAGTCCTGCCGGGTCGGACTGCAGAAACCAGACCCTGAGGTGTATAAATATGCTCTGAAGGAGCTGAAGGCGAAGCCCGAGGAGGTCAGTTGTGGACAGTGGCAAACTGTTGATCTCAGAGGGAGGATTTTGTTCTTGCTGTGTCTCCATTCACAGCAGTATTCAGGATCTCTTGCACACCAGCTCCAGAGTCCCCTGATTGTTGGCCAGGCTAGGGCTTCTGGGAGTTAGAGTCCAAAACTACAGGACGAAATTTTGGGAATGAGTGATATATGGGGACAAAGCTGGATGCTTTCATGAGCTTCCCCTTCTTTCCACCAGCCAATAAATATTAATCACTTTCCACTGTTTTCATTGTTTCTACTTCGGTGGATGAACTTATAGTTCTGTGATTATCTTTTAGCATCCCCATGAGGAGCAACTTAAAGAGCTGGGCATGATTAGCCTGCAAAAGAGAAGACTGAGAGGAGACATAATAGACATGTATAAATATGTCTGAACATCAAGCAAAAAGTGGGCGCTAGAAACAACATCATACGAAAGCTGACTGGCACAACCTGGGGATCACAACCAGACACAGTGAAGACATCTGCCCTTGCGCTATGCTACTCTGCTGCTGAGTATGCATGCCCAGTGTGGAACACATCTCACCACACTAAAACAGTAGATGTGGCTCTTAATGAGACATGCTGCATTATCACAGGGTGTCTGCGCCCCACACCACTGAAGAAATTACACTGCTTAGCCGGTATTGCACCACCTGACATCCGCCGGGAAGTAGCAGCCAATAGTGAAAGGACCAAGGCAGAGACATCCCCAGCTCATCCCCTGTTTGGGTATCAGCCAGCACGTCAATGACTTAAATCAAGACATAGCTTTCTTAGATCTACAGAGACATTCGCTGGAACACCCCAGCAAGCAAGAGTCCAGAAGTGGCAGGCCCAAACCCAGCACTCAATCCATGGGTGATACCAGATGAGGGACTCCCCCCTGGGCACACAGAAGACAGGGCAACTTGGAAGGCGCTGAACAGACTGTGCTCTGGCACCACGAGATGCAGAGCCAACCTCAAGAAATGGGGCTACAGGGTGGAATCCTCGACATGCGAGTGTGGAGAAGAGCAAACCACTGACCACCTGCTGCAATGCACTCTGAGCCCTGCCACATGCACAATGGAGGACCTTCTTGCGGCAACACCAGAGGCACTCCCAAGTGGCCAGATACTGGTCAAAGGACATTTAACCAACTACCAAGTTTGCAAAATCTGTGTGTGTGTGTGTGTTTTTTTTTTCCTTTTCTTTTTAATCTGTGTATTTGTTTTGTTCTGTTAGAATTGTAACACAATGGTATGGTTGCTGATGACACAATAAATAAAAATAATTAAATAAATATGTGAGGGGAAGTCATAGGGAGGAGGGAGCAGGCTTGTTTTCATGGACACAGTGTGATTCCAGGTGTAGTCTGACCAAGGCGGAAAAGAATAGCGGGGAGAAGGACTTCCTGGATCTTGACACTCAACTCCTATTGATGCAGGCCAAAATCCCATTGGCTTTTTTTGCTGCTGCATCACATTGTTGGCTCATGTTTAACTTGTTGTCCATGAGGACTCCAAAATCACTCCACGAGGACTCCAAGAATTCTTCTTCATGGAAAAATAAGACATTCCATGAAAATAAGTGCATCTTTGGGAGCAAAATTAATATAAGACATTGTCTTTTTTTTGTTGAACTGGGGCAATCTGGATTGTATATGGCAGCGTAGATCCAGCCTTAAGTCCAAAAAATATCTGAAGGACCAAAGATTGGGACCTCTTGGTTTAGGGATTTCTTACTCCAACTTTTTGGACTTCTTCCACACTCCAGGTTATTTTCTTGGATGATGTCGGTGCAAACCTGGTCCCTGCGAAGGAGATGGGGATGGCCACCATCTTGGTGCGAGATGAGAAGGATGCCCTGAAGGAGCTGCAGGACATGACCGGCATTCAGGTAAGATGCTGCTCGGGGACTATTTTCAATACTAATTTGTTGTTTATTCATTCAATCTCTTCCAACTCTTCGTGACTTCCTGGCCCAGCCCACACAAGAGCTCCCTGTCGGCCGTCACCACCCCCAGCTCCTTCCAGGTCAAGCCAGTCCCTTCAAGGATACCATCCACCATCTTGTTCTTGATTGGCCACCTCTTCCTTTTTCCTTCCCTTTTCCCCAGCATCATTGTCTTCTCTAAGATTTCCTTTCTTCTCATGATGTGGCCAAAGGACTTCATCTTGGCCTCTAATCTCCTTCCCTCCAGTGAGCAGATAGGCATTATTCCCTGGAGGATGGACTGGTTGGATCTCCTTGCGGTCCAAGGCACTCTCAGAATTTTCTTCCAACACTACAGTTCAAAAGCTGGGTTTTAGCCTGCCGCTTTTGGACTCTCACTTGCTGAGGTGTTCCAGCGTTGGCCTTGATTGAATTACTGACATTTTATTGTACTGTCGAAGGCTTTCATGGCTGGAATCACTGGCTTGTTGTAGGTTTTTTAAAGCTATATGGCCATTTTCTAGAAGCATTCTCTCCTGACGTTTTGCCTGCATCTGTGGCATGCATCCTCAGAGGTTTTTCTGGCATGTCCTTATGGGTGCCTTAAATACCTCCCCACTTTAAACAGTACCCATTTATCTATTTACATTTTGCTTTCAAACTGATAAGTAAGCAGAAGCTGGGCTAAAGGTCAGGAGCTCACCCCAATCCAGGGTTCGAACTCTCTGCCTCTTGATTCACAAAATTTACTGCAGCTGGCAGTTAACATGGCTGTGCTAAAGCCTGACAGAGAAAGCGAAATACATCTCCTTGCCTCCATAGCATTAAGCCAAGGTAGCTAAAGTGATGTCAAACTGCATTAGTTTTCCAGTGCAGATGCACCTTTGATTAATGGCATGGCATTCAGGAGATACGGAGGAGGAGACTGGTCTTCCTATGACTCCTTGAAACTGCATGTTTCAGCACCAAAGCAAGGATGCTAACCATACCAATTTGCCTGTGCATTGTCTTGAATGCAAAAGGATGGATTTTGATACTAATCCTTTGCTTGAAGCCTCTGTCAGTAGCACTGGCAGCATTTCCCAGCCAAAACAAAACTCAAAAAAAGCTGTACAGTATCTTCCTCGCTCTGCAAAAGGTAGCTCACGTAGCAGCTGATTCTTGGAAAGTGGATCTTCCTCGTCTCCGGAAGGCCATTTCTGCCTCTTTCTCTCAGGAGAGCGACTTAAAGCTGCGGAAACATTTGCCTCTGTGCTTGTGCATTGGCCCAGACAGTCTACCTTTGCACTTGGCAGCTTTTAAAAAAAAAAAAGAGAGAGAGAAAGAATACAAAGGGCACTTAGAAACGATGAGATTATCTCAGGCTTTTGGATCTTCTTAATTGTATTGCATTACACTATGTAACAGCATTTGAATTCTTTTGTTACCGGTTTGGAAGTGTTATTTACTGTTTAATTGTGCAGTCCTTACTTTGAAAGTACCAGTAGTTGTACAAAGTGCTTTGTTTCAAAGTGCTCTTCCAACAGTCACCAGCCAATCCCTCTGTAATGCCAGAAAGCCGACCTTAAAAACTGCACTCCAGCTGGATGTCAGCTGTGACTAGCAGTGCTGTAGAATTTGCAGAGGCACGAATGGAGGGCGAAAGAGAGAAACGTGCCAAGAGGAAGGCGCAGCAAGCCAACCCCAACTGGGACCGCCTTCCACCTGGAAACCAATGCCCTCACTGCGGGAGAAGATGCAGATCAAGAATGCCAGTAAGATAATGCTCCATAGTCACCTACGGACACACCAGTACACTGATCTTGGAAGACTATCCTACTCAGACAACGAGGGATCACCTAAGAAAGTACTACGCGGCTGGCGGGGACGAGAGACAGGGCCTTCTCGGTGGTGGCTCCCCGGCTGTGGAACGCCCTTCCCACAGATATTAGATTAGCACCATCTTTAATGGTCTTCCGCAAAAAAGTAAAGACCTGGTTATTTGTGCAGGCATTCGAATAATTAGTGCAAAGACTGGTAATGACATAGGAATGGAACAATGGATGACGAATTTGGATCATGTTTTTAGTGACGAGACGCCAGTGAATGGTTATCGTGGTAATTGTGTATGAATTGTATATTAGATTAGGTTGTTAACTGTTTTATATTGGTGTTGAATTCTGCTGTGTTCTGTGTCTTGTGAACCTCTGTGAGTCGCCTTCGGGCTGAGAACAGCGGTATAGAAGCAAAGTAAATAAATAAATACTACGAGCTCCATGCGTTTGCATGTAAATATTAAAAAGCATATTGTAGTGCAGGTATGGGCAAACGTGGGCCTGCTGGCTGTTCAGAATTGTGGGAGTTGAAGTCCAAAACACCTGGAGGGACGGCCCAAGCTTTCCCATGCCTGGTGTACTGTACAATAGAAGAGAGAAAGTTCTTTGTAGTTCTTTGCTTCAGTTTCACTTGTGGTTTGTTTGCTCTTTGTTTAAACTCTCGCACTCATTGAGCAATCCATATGCTGGAGTGAACATTGGACTCCGCTGTCATGGTTTTGAGAGCTAAACAAGGTGATAGAAAGGAAGGAACGGCGTGAAGTGACAAAATTGAAAAGGTAGGAAAGGAGCTGCCGAGACTGTAGAAGGCATAATAATCATAACCATAATTTATTTCTTACCCAACTCCCCTCTATTCTGCTTTGGTTATGCCACACCTGGAATATTGTGTCCAATTCTGGGCACCACAATTCAAGAGAGATATTGACAAGCTGGAATGTGTTCAGAGGAGGGCGACTAAAATGATCAAGGGTCTGGAGAACAAGCCCTATGAGGAGCGGCTTAAGGAGCTGGGCATGTTTAGCCAGCAGAAGAGAAGGCTGAGAGGAGATATGATAGCCATGTATAAATATGTGAGAGGAAGCCACAGGGAGGAGGGAGCAAGCTTGTTTTCTGCTTCCATGGAGATTAGGACAAGGAACAATGGCTTCAAACTATAAGAGATGAGATTCCATCTGAACATGAGGAAGAACTTCCTGACTGTGAGAGCTGTTCAGCAGTGGAACTCTCTGCCCAGGAGTGTGTTGGAGGCTCCTTCTTTGGAAGCTTTTAAACAGAGGCTGGATGGCCATCTGTCAGGGGTGATTTGAATGCAATATTCCTACTTCTTGGCAGAATGGGGTTGGACTGGATGGCCCATGAGGTCTCTTCCAACTCTTTGATTCTCTGATTCTATGATTCTAAGGCAGGGCACGAGATATTTACAAATACTGGAATATGGCAAGTTGACTTCTAGTTTTACTCTTTAAAAATATTTTTAAAATATTTATTTATGTGTTTTCAAGCCTTCATTGTATAGAAGGTGTTGCTGGGGGACCCCACAGCCATTGTTCTGTGGTGTCCCGCACGGCTCAGTATTGTCCCCCATGTTGTTTAATGTCTACATGAAGCCATTGGGCAAGATCATCCAGAGTTTTAGAGTCTGATGCCATCTGTACGCAGATGACGTCCAACTCTATTACTCCTTTCCACCTTCATGTAGACGTTAAACAACATGAGGGACAATACAGAGCCCTGCGGGACACCACAGAACAATGGCTGCGGAGTCCGCCAGCAACACCTTATATATAATGGATGCTTGAAAACACATAAATAAATATTTTTAAAATATTTAGAGAGATGGGCCAAAACTAACAAAATGAAGTTCAGCGGGGACAAGTGCAAGATACTCCACTTAGGCAGAAAAAACGAAATGCAAAGAGAGAATGGGGGATGATGCCTGGCTTGAGAGCAGGACGTGTGAAAAAGATCTTGGAGTTCTTGTGGACAACAAGTTAAACATGAGCCAGAAATGTCATGTGGCAGCAAAAAAAAGCCAATGGGATTTTGGCCTGCACCAAGAGGAGCATAGTGTCTAGATCTAGGGAAGTCCTGCTCCCCATGCTCTATTCTGCCTTGGTTAGACCACACCTGGAATATTGTGTCCAATTCTGGGCACCACAATTGAAGAGAGATATTGAGAAGTTGGAATGTGTCCAAGGAGGGCGACTAAAATGATCAAGGGCCTGGAGAACAAGCCCCATGAAGAGCAGCTTAAAGAGCTGGGCATGCTTAGCCTGAAGAAGAGAAGGCTGAGAGGAAATATGATAGCCATGTATAAATATGTGAGAGGAAGCCACAGGGAGGAGGGAGCAAGCTTGTTTTCTGCTTCCCTGGAGACTAGGACACAATGGACCAATGGCTTCAAACTACAAGAAAGGAGATTCCATCTGAACATGAGGAAGAACTTCCTGACTGTGAGAGCCGTTCAGCAGTGGAACTCTCTGCCCCGGAGTGTGGTGGAGGCTCCTTCTTTGGAAGCTTTTAAACAGAGGCTGGATGGCCATCTGTCAGGGGTGCTTTGAATGCAGTATTCCTGCTTCTTGGCAGGGGGTTGGACCGGATGGCCCATGAGGTCTCTTCCAACTCTAGGATTCTATGATTCGGCTAAGGAGGCTGTCCTAGACTTGACTGTCCTAGTCTTGACCGGTGCCTGACTGCTGTGATGGCCTGGATGAGGGCTAACAAATTGAAGTTGAATCCAGACAAGACAGAGCTCCTCCTGATCGAACAGGGTCGAACAGGGCATAGGGTCACAGCCTGTGCTGGATGGGGTTACACTCTCCCTGAAATCGCAGGTTCACAGCTTGGGAGTGATCCTGGACTCATTGCTGAGCCTGGAACCCCAGGTTGCTGCGATGGCCGGGGCAGCTTTTGCACAGTTAAAACTTGCGCGCCAGTTGCGCCCATACCTTGGGAGGTCTGACTTGGCCACGGTGGTCCATGCTCTGGTTACATCCCAAATAGACTACTGCATTGCACTCTACATGGGATTGCCCCTGAAGACTGCCCAGAAGCTTCAGCTAGTCCAATGTTCAGCAGCCAGGTTGCTCACAAGAACGCACAAAGCCCTTGCTACGCCAGCTCCACTGGCTGCCTGTTAGTAGTGGCTTTGGCCTATAAAGCCCTTAATGGTTCTGGCCCAGTTTACCTGTCCAGACATATCTCCTGCTACAAACCATCTAGGACCTTTTATTATTATTATTATTATTATTATTATTATTATTATTATTATTATTTAAAAACATTTATATTCCGCCCTTCTCACCCCGAAGGGGACTCATAGAATCATAGAATCATAGAATCATAGAATCCTAGAGTTGGAAGAGACCTCATGGGCCATCCAGTCCAACCCCATTCTGCCAAGAAGCAGGAATATTGCATTCAAATCACCCCTGACAGATGGCCATCCAGCCTCTGTTTAAAAGCTTCCAAAGAAGGAGCCTCCACCACACTCCGAGGCAGTGAGTTCCACTGCTGAACGGCTCTCACAGTCAGGAAGTTCTTCCTCATGTTCAGATGGAATCTCCTCTCTTGTAGTTTGAAGCCATTATTCCATTGCGTCCTAGTCTCCAGGGAAGCAGAAAACAAGCTTGCTCCCTCCTCCCTGTGGCTTCCTCTCACATATTTATACTCAGGGTGGAGCACAGCATATATATGGCAAACATTCAATGCCGGGACACAAATTCTTATATACATACATAAACATTAAAAACATTTATCAAAATATCAAAATACACCATTTAAAACCGTCCTAGTCATCCATGTCAAATCGAATTGGCCTGGTCATCTTTCCTATTGCTGCTTTATTGCCCTGTCCCGAAAGCTTGGTCCCTCAGCCAAGTTTTTACCATCCTTCTAAAGGACAGGAGGAAGGGAGCTGAACTGATCTCACCAGGAAGGGAGTTCCATAACCGGGGAGCAATCACCGAGAAGGTCCTGTCTCTCGTCCCCACCAATTGTGCCTGCGACAATGGCAGGATGGAAAGCAATATCTTAATCTCCGCGATGGGTCATCTGGGGAGGCCCTGCTCTCGGTCCCACCGCCATTGCAGTCATGTTTGGTAGGGATGAGAGACAGGGCCTTATAGGCCAAGTGGCAGAAAGAGGCCCCAGTGGCGATGAGGAGTAGGAAGAAGAAGGTAAAGAGGGTGAGAAGGGAAGAAGAGCCACCCCCTCGCCCTCTTTTGTTCTTCTTGACCGCCGCTGGGGCCTCTTGCTGCTGGCGGCAATGGGGAGGAGGAAGAGGAAGGTAAAGAGGGTGAGGAGGGAAGAAGACCACCCCCTCGCCCTCTTTACCTTCATCATCACCGCTGGGGTCTCTTGCTGCCAAGCAATGGAAAGAGGCCCAGGCAGCGACAAGGAGGAGGAAGTGGAAGGTAAGGAGGGTGAGGCTCTTCTTCCCTCTTCGCTACAGTGTTCCCTCGTTGCGAGGCAACACTGTATATCTGCAATAAGAGACTTACTTACTAACTTAGGTGATCCCTCATAGTCCAAGGATGATGGTCCTCCAAGTGTAGTGTCCCGGCGGTGAGTCCGTAGGTGACTGTGGAGCCCTATTCTTGATCTGCATCTTCTCCCACAGTGAGGGCATCGGTTTCCAGGTGGAAGGCAGTCCCGGTCGGGGTTGGCTTGACGCGCCTTCCTCTTGGCATGTTTCTCTCTTTCGCCCTCCATTCGTGCCTCTTCAAATTCTGCAGCACTGCTGGTCACAGCTGACCTCCAACTGGAGCGCTCAAGGGCCAGGTCTTCCCAGTTCTCAGTGTCTATGCCAGAGTTTTCGAGGTTGGGTTTAAGCTCATCTTTGAGCCCTTCTTTAAATCTCTTTTCCTGTCCTCCAACATTCCATTTTCCATTCTTGAGTTCAGAGTAGAGCAACTGCTTTGGGGGACAGTGGTCGGGCATCCGGACAACGTGGCCGGTCCAGCGGAGTTGATGGCGGAGGACCATCGCTTCAATGTTGGTGGTCTTTGCTTCTTCCAGCACGCTGACATTTGTCCGCTTGTCATCCCAAGAGATTTGCAGGATTTTCCGGAGGCAGCGCTGATGGAATCATTCCAGGAGTTGCATGTGACGTCTGTAGACAGTCCACGTCTCGCAGGTGTATAGCAGGGTTGGGAGGACAATAGCTTTATAAACAAGCACTTTGGTGTCCCTATGGACACCTCAAACACTCTCTGCTTCTTGTGGGTTTTTTCGGACTATAGGGCCATGTTCTAAATGCCTCTAGGACATGGTCCTATAGCCCGAAAAAACCCACAAGAACCTAGTGATTCCAGCCATGAAAGCCTTCAACAATACATTGAACTCTCTGCTTCATTCGGAAAAAAAATAAGAAACCACTAGATGAAGTAATCTTAGATCAGATGACAAGTAGTGTGATTCTGGGTAAAAAATAGTTTAATGCATTCCACGGGGCCAAATCTAAAGACCATTCCTAATTAGTATGTGCTTGTTTGACTCAAAGAGCCAGTTCTGAGATTCTGCAAACCCACTGAACCAATGGATGTATGGAAGTATTGACAGAAGTTGTTGCCTAGTTCATTACTTGTGGCGCTATAAACTTTTTTTTCCCTTTCCCCAAATTCCCTGTCTCTGCAGCTTCTCAACCAGGAAGAAATACTTCCAATGGCATGCGAACCAGAGAATGTGGCTCACGGCTATGTGGCCATCAAGGTAATTGCAGGAAGATAGTATTTGCAATGTAGGGTCACATTTAAGGGCTTTCAGCAGGGGAAACAATTGCAGGTTCAGATCCAAAACCTTTTGCATAATACACTTTTTTCCGTAGTCCGGAATGCTGTTTTTCTCATCTGGAATGAGCAGTGCCTTGGGACATCTCACCAAGGCATGCTGCCAAGTTGCATTGGAGGACCTAGAAAATGACTAGCAAGATGTCCTCTCTAAGGATGCATCTGCACTGTAAATATAGTTTGACACCACTTTTAAGCCACATGGCTCACTGCTGTGGAAATAATGGGAGTTGTAGTTTGGTGAGACACCAGTAAAGCTAAATACCTTGTACAACTACAACTACCATTGCATTCAGCCATCACAGTTAAAGCGGAGCCAAACTGCATTCATTCTATGGTGTAGATCAGTGTTTCTCAACCCTCCTAATATCACGACCCCTTAATACAGTTCCTCACATTGTGGTGACCCACAACCATAACATTATTTCCATTGTTACTTCATGACTGAAATTTTGCTACTGTTATGAATCGTCATGGGAATATCTGGTATGCAGATATTTGGTATTTTCATTCACTGGACCAAATTTGGCACAAACCCCCAATTCGCCCCAATTTGAAGACTGGTGGGATTGGGGGAAGATTGATTTTGTCATTTGAGAGTTGTTGTTGCTGGGATTTATAGGTCACCTACAATCAAAGAGCATTCTGAACTCCACCAACAATGAAATAGAACCAAACTTGGCACAGAGACCTCCCATGACCAACAGAAAATAGTGGAAGGGTTTAGTGGCATTGACCTTGAGTTTGGGAGCTGTAGCTCACCTACATTCAGAGAGCACTCAAACAATGATGGGGCTGGACCAAACTTGGCATGGATACTCAATATGCCCAAATGTGAACACAGGTGGAGTTTGGGGAAAATAGATCTTGACATTTGGGAGTTGTAGTTGCTGGGATTTATAGTTCTTCTACAATCAAAGAGCATTCTGAACCCCAGCAACGATAGATTGGGACCAAACTTGGCACACAGAACCCCCAAGACCAACAGAAAATACTGTGTTTTCCGATGGTCTTTGGCGATCCCTCTGACACCCCCTTGTGACCCCCCCCCCAGGGGTCCTGACCCCCAGGTTGAGAAACATTGGTGTAGATGAACCTGGGGACTGAGGAGAGAAAGTGGGGCTTGGGAAGTCCTAAGAGACTTTGTGAAAAGGAACTTCTTTATGATAGGCTTTGCTAACTGAAATACAGCTGCATGGGCAAACTTGGGCCCTCCAGGTGCTTTGGACTTTAACTCCCACAATTCCTCACAGCCTATTGGCTATTAGGAATTGTGGGAGCTAAAGTCCAAACACCTGGAGGGCCCAAGTTTGCCCGTGCCTGGTTTAATTGCAGCCTTAGTTATATGGTTTGCTCATTTTAATGGTGATTCTGACCCGATGCTTTTCTTTCCCCCTTTCCCCGCTAGCCTCACACTCAGCTGCACTTTGTGGAGATGGGCAGCGGTCCAGTGGTTTGCCTCTGTCACGGCTTCCCCGAGTCATGGCTTTCTTGGAGGTATCAGGTAAGGCGCATTTTAGCTATTGTTGAGGCCTGTGAAAAACAGTCTTTGTCTCCATACCTCATAATCCACCAAGAGCAAGAACTCCACAAGAACAACCAACACACAGGAAGATCAGCTTCAGACTGAAACATCTCTCAGGACAAAAGAAGAAGATGCCCTTGACTTATGCATGAGATCAACTTCTACATGAGTAAAGGCCATCCCTGAGTTACAAACATCAGATTTACAAAGGGCTCATATTTAAGGACAGGGGTGATGCAACAGGAAGTGGGAGAAATCTATTCATCGGAAGGAAGGGAAATCCATTCCTGGAAGATGCATTGTTGAAGGCTTTCATGGCTAGAATCACTGAGTTGTTGTGGGTTTTTCTGGCTGTATGGCCATGTTCTAGAACAGTGGTTCTCAACCTGTGGGTCCCCAGGTGTTTTGGCCTACAACTCCCAGAAATCCTAGCCAGTTTGCCAGCTGTTAGGATTTCTAGGAGTTGAAGACCAAAACATCTGGGGACCCACAGGTTGAGAACCACTGTTCTAGAAGCATTCTCTCCTGACATTTCACCTGAGTCTATGGCAAGCATCCTCAGAGGTTGTGTGGTCTGTTGCAAACTAGGAAAATTGGGTTTATATCTCTGTGGAAAGTCCATGGTAGAAGAAAGAACTCTTGTCTGTTGGAGCTAGGTGTGAATGTTTCAATTGTCCACCTTGATTAGCATTTGATGTCCTGACAGTTTTTAGGTGTGGCTTGTTACTGCCTGGGAAAAGTTATTGTTGAGAGGTGATTAGGTGTTCCTGATTGTTTCTTGTCTGGAGTTACCCTATGTTTGTTCTTTAATGTGTATAGGTTCTTGTGGGTTTTTTCGGGCTATAGAGCCATGTTCTAGAGGCATTTCTCCTGACGTTCTCGCCTGCATCTATGGCAAGCATCCTCAGAGGTAGTGAGGTCTGTTGGAATAGGACAATGGGTTTATATATCTGTGGAATGGCTGGGGTGGGGCAAGGAGCTCTTCCCTGCTGCAGTTAGGTGTGAATGTTTCAGCTGATCACCTTCATTAGCATTTGAAGGCCTGCCTGAGCCTGGGAAAATCTCTTGCTGGGAGGTGTTAATCCGTGCCTGGTTGTTTCCTCTCTGTTGTTTTGCTGTTGTAATTTTAGAGTTTTTTAATACTGGTAGCCAGATTTTGTTCATTTTCATGGTTTTCTCTTCTGTTGAAATTGTCCACATGCTTCTTGTGGATTTCAGTGGCTTCTCTGTGTAGTCTGACATGGTGGTTGTGAGAGTGGTCCAGCATTTCTGTGTTCTCAAATCATAGAATCCAAGAGTTGGAAGAGACCTCATGGGCCATCATCCAGTCCAACCCCATTCTGCCAAGAAGCAGGAATATTGCATTCAAATCACCCCTGACAGATGGCCATCCAGCCTTTGTTTAAAAGCTTCCAAAGAAGGAGCATCCACCACACTCCGGGGCAGAGAGTTCCACTGCTGAACGGCTCTCACAGTCAGGAAGTTCTTCCTCATGTTCAGATGGAATCTCCTTTCTTGTAGTTTGAAGCCATTGTAGTTTGAAGCCAAATAATCAGCTGTGTCCAGGTTGGTTCATCAGGTGCTCTGCTATGGCTGGTTTCTCTGGTTGAAGGAGTCTGCAGTGCCTTTCATGTTCCTTGATTCGTGTTTGGGCAATGCTGCTGCGTTTGGTGGTCCCTCTGTAGACTTGTCCACATCTACATGGTATAGGGTAGACTCCTGCAGAGGGGAGAGTATCCCTCTTGTCCTTTGCTGAATGGAGCATTGGTTGGATTTTCTTAGTGGGTTTGTAGATTGTTTGTATGTTGTGTTTCCTCATCAGCTTCCCTATGCGGTCAGTGGTTCCCTTGATGTATGGTTCCCTCATAAACTCTTCTGTTTGCAACTTGGGGACTGCTTGTGTGCACGGTATGTTTTTCTGTAATATCCATGTTGGCAGCAGTGGTTCCATTCTCCTTGAAATCTCTTTTGGAAGAACCGTCTAATCCCTCGTATATGACAAGTATTGACTGCAAAGGTCTTGAAAGAAGAGAAAGAGTTTTTGACTTGAGGAGAGGCCTGGGAAAGAGCAAAAAGAAGTTGTTACATGATGTGAATGAACTCTTGTTCTCCCTTCAAGGTTGTTTTTTCCCTCTATAGATCCCCGCACTGGTTGACGCTGGTTTCCGTGTCATCGCTTTGGAAATGAAAGGCTATGGAGATTCCACAGCTCCGCCAGGTGAGCCGGTGTTTGGCATCCAGATCTAGTTTTGCCTTTGAGTCCATGGAGCCTCCTTCTCTCACTGGATGGCCATCTGTCGGGAGGGCTTGGATGGTATCTTCCTGTTTGGGGCTCTCTTACAACTCTAGTGAAATGTAGAATGCCTAGGAAGGTGATGGAGTCTCCTCCTATGGAGGTTTCTAAGCAAAGGTGGATGGCTGGGTGGGAATCTGTTCGGAGGGTATGAATTTGTATTTCTCTGCATTGCACAACAACCTTGGGAAGTCTGATCTGGCCACAGTGGTCCACGCTCTTGTTACATCCCAAATAGATTACTGCAACGCGCTCTACGTGGGGTTGCCTTTGAAGACTGTTCGGAAACTTCAATTAGTCCAACGGGCGGCGGCTAGATTACTCACCGGAGCATCATACAGGGAGCATACCACCCCCCTGTTATGTCAGCTCCACTGGCTGCCGATCCAGTTCCGAGCACAATTCAAAGTGCTGGTTTTGACCTACAAAACCCTATACGGCTCCAGCCCAGCATACCTGTCCGAACGTATCTCCTTCTACGTCCCACCTCGGAGTTTAAGATCTTCTGGGGAGGCCCTGCTCTCAGCCCCACCTTTATCACAAGTGAGGCTGGTGGACTAGGGACAGGGCCTTCTCGGTGGTGGCCCCCCACCTGTGGAACTCACTCCCCGGGGAAATTAGATCATCGTCATCCCTCCTCTTTTTTAGAAGGAAATTAAAAACAGGTATATGGGACCAGGCCTTTGGGTAATCTGGCAGATTGACAAGGAAAATGACGACAATGAGCTTTGGAAACAGACTATGATAAGCAGAATGGCTCACTGATTATGGAACTCGGCGAAACGATGGCCACCAAGCTGGCTTTTTCTATGAGATTTTATTGTAATAATTTAATGTTTTAACTATTTATAATTACTGTGATATGTATTTTATTGTGTTTAAATGTAGGCATCGAATATGTGCCAGCTGGAAGCCGCCCTGAGTCCCCCCCTAGGGAGTTGAGAAGGGCGGGGTAGAAATGCTCCAAATAAATAAATAAATTACATGTAATAGTGCTAATAATAATAGAATATAATGTATTTCATCTATGCTGATGATCGTGCCATTACTGCTCAAGCGGGGAGCTTTGAGATGGTAGAACAGAAGCTTTCCGAAGGTCTAGGTGCTCTTACTGCTTATTACAGGGAAAACCAGCTGATCCCCCAACCCATCTAAAACACAGACATGTGCCTTTCATCTCAAGAACAGACAAGCATCCCGAGCTCTGAGGATTACCTGGGAAGGAATCCCACTGGAGCATTGCAGCGCACCCAAATACCTGGGAGTCAACCTGGACCGTGCTCTGACCTACAAGAAGCACTGCCTTAACATCAAGCAAAAAGTGGGCGCTAGAAACAATATCATACGAAAGCTGACTGGCACAACCTGGGGATCACAACCAGATACAGTGAAGACATCTTCCCTTCTGCTATGCTACTCTGCTGCTGAGTATGCATGCCCAGTGTGGAACACATCTCACCACACTAAAACAGTAGATGTGGCTCTTAATGAGACATGCTGAATTATCACAGGGTGTCTGCGCCCCACACCACTGGAGAAATTACACTGCTTAGCCGGTATTGCACCACCTGACATCCGCCGGGAAGTAGCAGCCAATAGTGAAAGGACCAAGGCAGAGACATCTCCAGCTCATCCCCTGTTTGGGTATCAGCCAGGACATGAACAACTTAAATCAAGAAATAGTTTTCTATGATCTACAGAGACACTTGCTGGAACACCTCAGCAAGTGAGAGTCCAAAAGTGGCAGGCCCAAACCCAGCACCTAAATCCATGGGTGATACCAGATGAGAGACTCCCCCTGGGCACACAGAAGACTGGGCGACTTGGAAGGCGCTGAACAGACTGCGCTCTGGCACCACGAGATGCAGAGCCAATCAAGAAATGGGGCTACAAAGTGGAATCCACGACATGCGAGTGCGGAGAAGAGCAAACCACTGACCACCTGCTGCAATGCAACCTGAGCCCTGCCACATGCACAATGGAGGACCTTCTTGCAGCAACACCGGAAGCACTCCAAGTGGCCAGATACGGGTCAAAGGACATTTAATCAACTACCAAGTTTGCAAAATTTGTGGGTTTTTTTTTCTTATCTTATCTGTTTGTTTGTTTTGTTCTGTTAGAAATGTAATACAATGTTCTGGTTGCAGATGACACGATAAATAAATAAATTATATATTTTATATTGCATGTAATATTAATAATAATAATACAATATAATGGTATAGTACAATATAATAATATATAATACTGATATTGTACTATGCTAATAATATAACGTATTGTATGTATATATATCTTGTAAGCCACTCTGAGTCCTCTTCAGAGTAAGAAGGGTGGCATATAAATGTTGTAAATAAATGAATATAGAATGCCTAGGAAGGTGATTGGAGTCTCCTCCTCTGGAGGTTTTTAAGCAAAGGGTGGATGGAAATCTGTTAGAAGGGTTTTGAGTTTGTATTTTCTTTCTGCATGGCACAACGAGGTTGGTTTGGATGACCTTTGGGGTTCCCTTCCAACTATGTGATTGTGTTCATCCTGATTCCTCTTCCTTGCAAAGTTTGCCTCTTCTAGCCCTCACCGAGAAGCCAATTCCCGCTTTCGGAACATTAAAAATCAATTTACGCTCACTGAAAAAAAATGTGCTTCATGATTCATTTTTGCTGTTGCAGATATAAAAGAATACTCGCAGGAAGAAATCTGCAAGGTAAGTCCATGGCCTTTGAGAGAGACTCCTTGCCTTTTTGGCTTACCTCTGGCATGCGCTCGATCGCATTGATCTCGAACAGACATTTCTAATGAAATTCACTCCGTAATTTATATACCCCGAAGAAGGTAGCTTTAAGGGCATACGACACAGGAGTCTGCAAATACCCTCAGAGTTGCCTTCTTCAGTCAACCTCAAAGATGCTCCAAGATCCCTTTGCACACTATTAGTTGAATAACAGTAGAATAGTAGCCGCTATAGCCAGGCACTGAATGTCTGTATTTTTCGGGTCCTGTTTCAGATTTTTTTTTCTATGTCAGGAGCAACTTGAGAAACTGCAAGTCACTTCTGGTGTGAGAGAATTGGCTGTCTGCAAGGACATTGCCCAGGGGATGCCCGGATGTTTGATGTTTTACCATCCTTGTGGGAGGCTTCTTGCATGTCCCCACATGGGGAGCTGGAGCTGACAGAGGGAGCTCGACCTGCTCTCACCAGATTCAAACCTCTAACCTGTGGGTCAGCAGTCCTGCCACCAGGGGCTCTTGCCTTGGATGGTTGCATCTGTGGATGCAGAATCCATAGATACCAAGGGGCAGCTGTATACTTCTCTTGAAGCGAGGAGGAGCTAGAGCTGACAGAGGGAGCTCAACCTGCTCTCACCAGATTCAAACCTCTGACCTGTGGGTCAGCAGTCCCACCACCGGGGGCTCCTGCTTTGGATGGTTGCATCTGTGGATGCAGAATCCGTAGATACCAAGGGGCAGCTGTATACTTCTCTTGAAGTGAGGAGGAGCTAGAGCTGACAGAGGGAGCTCTCTCGCCCAGGATTCGAACCCGGGACATGTCCGTCCTGCTGGCACAAGGGTTTTAACCCATTTTGCCACTATTCTTCCAGATTGGGTATTGCTAAAAGAACTTCCAATTAGATGGTGTAAAAAATGCTTTTCGTTAACTTGAGTGTATTTATATAGTTTGTATATATGTACACTAATTCTGCATATATTTCATGTTTATTTCTTTAGGATTTGGTGACCTTCTTGGACAAAATGGTGAGTCCTTTAATTTTTTCATATATATATATATATATTATATATATATATATATATATATATATATATATATATATATATATACGCGCGCTTTTTTGTGTATTTTCCCATAACAACCATGAATTTATGGTTTGTGACCTGCAAATGAGAGGCCTCTAATGCACCCTGTTATCAATTATTATTATTATTATTATTATTGCTCCATTAGTGTTTAACATTTACACAAATGATCAGCCACTGCCAAAAGGGACAGAGAGTTTCATCTATGCTGACGATCATGCCATCACCACCCAAGCAGGGAGCTTTGAGATGGTTGAACAGAAGCTCTCCAAAGCTTTTGGTGCTCTTACTGTCTTATCATCATCATCATTATTATGGTTCCATCAATGTTCAACATTTACACAAATGATCAGCCACTGCCAGAAGGGACAGAGAGTTTCATCTATGCTGACGATCGTGCCACCACCACACAAGCAGGGAACTTTGAGATGGTTGAATAGAAGCTCTCCAAAGCTTTTGGTGCTCTTAATGCCTATATCATCACAACCATCATCTCCATTAGTGTTTAACATTTACACAAATGATCAGCCACTGCCAAAAGGGACAGAGAGTTTCATCTATGCTGACGATCATGCCATCACCACCCAAGCAGGGAGCTTTGAGATGGTTGAACAGAAGCTCTCCAAAGCTTTTGGTGCTCTTACTGCCTATATCATCATCATCATCATTGCTCCATCAATGTTCAACATTTACACAAATGCTCAGCCCCTGCCAGAAGGGTCAGAGAGTTTCATCTATGCTGACGATCGTGCCACCACCACACAAGCAGGGAACTTTGAGATGGTTGAATAGAAGCTCTCCAAAGCTTTTGGTGCTCTTAATGCCTATATCATCACAACCATCATCATTATTATGGTTCCATCAATGTTCAACATTTACACAAATGATCAGCTACTGCAAGAAGGGACAGAGTTTCATCTATGCTGACGATCGTGCCATCACTACTCAAGCAGGGAGCTTTGAGAAGGTTGAACAGAGCTCTCCAAAGATTTTGGTGCTCTTACTGCCTATTACAGAGAAAATATGTGAGGGGAAGTCATAGGGAGGAGGGAACAAGCTTGGACGCAATGGAACAATGGCTTCAAACTACAAGAAAGGAGATTCCATCTGAACATTAGGAAGAACTCCCTGACTGTGAGAGCCGTTCAGCAGTGGAACTCTCTGCCCCAGAGTGTGGTGGAGGCTTCTTCTTTGGAGGATTTTAAACAGAGGCTGGATGGCCATCTGTCAGGGGTGATTTGAATGCAATATTCCTGCTTCTTGGCAGAATGGGGTTGGACTGGATGGCCCACAAGGTCTCTTCCAACTCTTTGATTCTATGATTCTATGATTCTACAAGAAAGGAGATTCCATCTGAACATTAGGAAGAACTTCCTGACTGTCAGAGCCGTTCAGCAGTGGAACTCTCTGCCCCAGAGTGTGGTGGAGGCTCCTTCTTTGGAGGCTTTTAAACAGAGGATGGATGGCCATCTGTCAAGGGTGCTTTGAGTGCAATTTTCCTGCTTCTTGGGAGAATGGGGTTGGACTGGATGGCCCACGAGGTCTCTTCCAACTCTAGGATTCTATGCCTTTAGCCACAGACGCAGGCAAAATGTCAGGAGAGAATGCAGCTGGAGCATGGCCATACAGCCCGGAAAACTCACAGCAACCCATGAAAGCCTTCAACAAGGCAACTGATGTTTGATTTAGGATGTTGAACTAGTTTAGATGCCTGCCCTGCGCCCTAATTCCTTGAAATCTGCCCATTCCCCATTCTGTTGCGTGTGACCTTCCCTGACAAAAGCGTCCTCCGCTCCGTCTTTGGTTGACAAACGGTCATCTCTCAAGAAACCCCAGGGAGAGGTCGCCTGGCCAGGGCCTCTGGTTGTTAAATAACTGCTTCCTCCCTTAACCTCTCTAGGGACATCCATCTGCTTTGACAATATAATTAGACCCATAGCTCAGATGGCCTGCCCTATTGGAAGGGAGGGATCGATTCAGGATTTATGAAAATGGAGTGAATATATCACTGAGAGAGAGTTGAAAGCGCTGGCCGTTGGACGAGGAGACGAAATGCCAGCATCAGCAGCTCTGGCTTTTCCCTCTCGAAGGTTCACAAAATTGGCAAAAGGTTTAGAATAGGATTTTGAAGTTCTGCATGACTGCGGAGCTCCACTTTCTCGGTACTGCATCGACAGTGTTGTGATGTCCATTGCAAACTTTTCAATGTGGGTTATACATACGAGTTGTTCCCTACCATTCAGACCTGATTATTGTGGTTATATTTCATTTGTTATCCTTCATGGCTCAACATAGTTAAAATGCCCATATAAAGCAAATTGGTATCCGTAGGGAGACCAAGGTGCTTGTCTATAAAGCTATTGTCCTCCCAACCCTGCTCTATGCCTGTGAAACGTGGACTGTCTACAGACGTCACATGCAGCTCCTGGAACGATTCCATCAGCGCTGCCTCTGGAAAATCCTGCAAATCTCCTGGGAAGACAAGCGGACAAACGTCAGTGTGCTGGAAGAAGCAAAGACCACCAGCATTGAAGCGATGGTCCTCCAACATCAACTCCGCTGGGCCGGCCACGTTGTCCGGATGCCTGACCACCGTCTCCCAAAGCAGCTGCTCTACTCTGAACTTAAGAACGGAAAACGGAACGTTGGTGGACAGGAAAAGAGATTTCAAGATGGGCTCAAAGCCAAGCTTAAAATGTCTGGCATAGACACTGAGAACTGGGAAGCCCTGGCCCTTGAGCGCTCCAACTGGAGGTCAGCTGTGACCAGCAGTACTGCAGAATTCGAGGAGGCACGAGTGGAGGGTGAAAGAGAGAAACGTGCCAGGAGGAAGGCACATCAAACCCAACCCTGGCTGAGACCGCCTTCCACCTGGAAACCAATGCCCTCACTGCGGAAGAAGATGCAGAGCAAGAATAGGGCTCCACAGCCACATACGGACCCACAAGGAAACCCATAATGGAAGACCATCTTACTCGTCCAACGAGGGATCGCCTAAGTAAGTAAGTAAGTCTAGCCTCTGTTTAAAAACCTCCAAAGAAGGAGCCTCCACCACACTCTGGGGCAGAGAGTTCCACTGCTGAACAGCTCTCACAGTCAGGAAGTTCTTCCTCATGTTCAGGTGGAATCTCCTTTCTTGTAGTTTGAAGCCATTGTTCCATTGCGTCCTAGTCTCTTGGTCCACATTTCTTCCCATTTCCTCCCTTTGCCATATTATCCACCATTTTTCTTATCTCTCTTTCCTCTGCCTTGGATCTGGTGCCTGTTGTGGAAATAAACTGCTTGTTGTCATCTGTTTGCTCACCTTCTTGCTCAGGTCAGCGCCTGCTGGAGAAGGAGATTTTGCTCGTGCAGCTTCTCCGAAATAATAATTTGTTTAGTGGCGTGAACGTTTGGCGCTTGGCGGAGGGAAGGCTCTGAAGCAGCATTAGATTAAGCAGCTGCTTTATTCGAGGGGAGGAGGCAGTAATGGAATTAACCGAAGCAAACGGACAATATATCAGCGCTTTGAGATGTTTAATTCATGCAATGACCTTGATTTCCTCCGAAGCCGTTGTTGTCCCATCTTTCCTCCTTGTGTTTGGCTTAGTGGGGAACTTTTCCATGTCTGCTCAGGTTGCTGCTGCAAAACCTGTTGATGGGTAAGGGCAGAGATGGGCAACTTCGGAGGGCAAAGTTTTTGGTTGTTCCAAAAATATCAAGGAAGTGAACAGAACACTCTGAAAAAAGACAGGTATCAATCTTCAGCTTAAAGGAAACACTTGGGGTTTCAATTCGGGGGACTCTTCAGCGTGTGGTTGTGAGCCGCTTTGAGTCCCCGCCGGGAGAAACGCAGGGTATACATAAAATCAAATAAATAATACTGGGACTCATTGCCATGTCAAGTTTGGCAGGACACATGATTCACAATGATCCACTCCAGGAATCTATGGATCTAGGTCAGTGGTTCTCAACCTTCCTAATGCCGCGACCCCTTAATACAATTCCTCATGTTGTGGTTTTTATTTATCATGTCAGGAGCAACCAGACATTTGTATTACATTTTTAACAAAACAAACAAATAGACAGACAAAACACAAAGTTTGCAAGCTTGGTAGTTGATTAAATGTCCTTTGACCAGTATCTGGCCACTTGGAGTGCCTCTGGTGTTGCCGCAAGAAGGTCCTCCATTGTGCATGTGGCAGGGCTCAGGGTGCATTGCAGCAGGTGGTCTCTGGTTTGCTCTTCTCCACACTTGCATGTTGTGGATTCCACTTTGTGGCCCCATTTCTGAAGGTTGGCTCTGCATCTCATAGTGCCAGAGCGCAGTCTGTTCAGCGCCTTCCAAGTCACTCAGTTTTCTGTGTGCCCAGTGGGGAGTCTCTCATTTGGTATCAGCCATTGATTGAGGTTCTGGGTTTGAGCCTGCCACTTTTGGACTCTTGCTTACTGGGGTGTTCCAGCGAGTGTCTCTGTAGATCTTAGAAAACTATTTCTTGATTTAAGGTGTTGATGTGCTAGCTGATACCCAAACAGGGGATGAGCTGGAGATGTCACTGCCTTGATCCTTTTACTATTGGCTGCTACTTCCCGGCGGATGTCAGGTGGTGCAATACTGGCTAAACAGTGTAATTTCTCCAGTGGTGTAGGGCGCAGACACCCCATGATAATGCAGCATGTCTCATTAAGAGCCACATCTACTGTTTTAGTGTGGTGAGATGTGTTCCACACTGGGCATGCATACTCAGCAGCAGAGTAGCATAGCACAAGGGCAGATGTCTTCACTGTGTCTGGTTTTGATCCCCAGGTTGTGCCAGTCAGCTTTCGTATGATATTGTTTCTAGCGCCCACTTTTTTGCTTGATGTTCAGGCAGTGCTTCTTGTAGGTCAGAGCACGGTCCAGAGTGACTCCCAGATATGTGGGTGTGCTGCAATGCTCCAGTGGGATTCCTTCCCAGGTC